GCATAAAAAGCATGCTTATGAAATTGGAACACTATTGGTAGCATGCACTTATGACGACATGCTCGCAGCGCTGACAAACAATTTTGGAACACAGCCATGGTGTGAGTCTCGCGAGACAACTCGAGCGGGACGGACGTACGTCACGCCCGCTTCGGGTATTGCATCATCTCACCCATTTTTTGAAAAGCGTTTCCGGCTTCGACTGTGCATTGTGTTACATTATTTGTCTTGATTACATCATTATTTCGTCCCATTCACCGGTTTGAGATGACCGATGTATCATACTTTGATTACACGATTTATTTACGATTCTGGCCGAAATCGTCGTCATTTTTGCGGCGAGTGCCATCAATTTTGAAAAAGAAGAAGAAGGTGTCATGGTGTGCAGGCGTGTGAGCCACGAGATTAAGCACGAGCATAGTGAATCGAGCATGCTGAATGAATTATAAGTATTTGCACAATGCAGTTGCTACTATAAAATAGGAAGTATTTTTAAAGAATTTTGATTCTTTGAAAATATTTACTATTTTAAAGTAACAACTGCACTGTGCAAATACTTAATTCGTTCAGCATGCAAGCGTGTGAGCGAAATTTTATCTATATGTGTATGTATGTGTGTATGTATGTGCATGCATACATAACATACTAGAGACATCTATGATAATGCGGATATTAATAGAGACGTACTGGAGACGTATTGAAGACATACTCATACATCTCAGAATAACTACGGTATATCATTAGGAGCTCCCTACGAAGTTTACGGGATGAGAAACCAAGGACATAGTAAATTCTGAAGAAATACTCTGTACATCACAGACGCGTCTCGAATATCTTGACGACGTATTTAATATACGTTTGCGGTATCGTTCTAACGTTGTCAGAATGTAGATGGCTGTCTGGGAGTTAATATTTTTTAGTTTTATATACGTTACGTTTGGAACTTATAGTTTAAGTTTATTGAAAGAATGGATTAAATGTAGGAAAATTCAAATTAAATGTACAATTAAGATCACTTACCTCAAATATTGTTTAGATAATAATATTACACCACCATATGTTGAAAGGTTAAACAGATTTAGAATACAGCTTAAACATCATAGTTCGGTGTCTCGATATATAAAGGTCATGATTTCTCACAATAGGAAAATATTAAATTTAGAATTGCAGGATAATTCCAGAAGGAAGTATAGTACACAGACACGAATTTTTTTAGTCTTCAGAAATATTCAACGCAATCTACCGAATGATATTGTAATAAAGTTTTTCCAGAAAAAAAAAACAATCATTGAGACTACACTATTTTTGGAGGAACGAAAGTAAACGGGTATATAAAAAGATAAAATGGGTGTCTAAAAAACATAAACAACTTGAGCTTAATTAAATACCTTCCATACCATGCAGAGGATATTAATAGATCTAATACACAAAGTAATATTGCAGTCAATGTGTCTCCGCATGCCTTTTTAGATTATGAATCTATACCCTCAATGTTTAATATTAAGAATAAATGGTTTATAAATTTATCTTCAAGTATAATACCGAAAGAATTACAGTGTCTATGGCAACTAGGTAATAATTTTGCTTTACCACTGTAGAATAAGAGGCAAGTAGTAACGGAATTCATCAAAAATATTGAACATAATTTATATAAATTACCAACAGAAGTAAAAAATCAATTGAGGAACAAGATTATACCATTGTTCGACAAAATTAACGTTTTTAGTAACAATAACAAAAGAAGTTCTCTATATGGTATGCTCAAGGAAAGGATGAAAGTAGCGAAGCAATTTTTAAAAGAGAATCAAAATTTCATTCTTACTAAAGCTGATAAGGGTAACGTTACAGTGGCTCTAGACAAAAACAAGTATATAAACAGCATGAATGAAATACTCCAAGATACATCAACGTATACGGTTGTTAAAAAATCGCCCATGAATACGTTAAACAATGGATTGAGGAATATTCTGACGAAATGGAAGAGTTTGGGATACATCACGGATGGCACATATCGTTGGCTTAATACGAGTGATGGTTTATTACCTAGAGTGTATGGGATCCCAAAGGTGCACAAAACAGATTTTCCATTAAGGATGATAGTATCGTCGGTAGATAGTACAATATTCAATTTTGCGACGTTTTTACATAATATTATTGAGAAAAGTATTCCAAAATCAAACAGTAGAGTTAAGAATAGTTTTGAATTAGTTGACAAATTGAACAATAAAAGAATTAATAACGATAATATCGTTAGATGTTGAATCGTTATTTACCAATGTACTTATTGAACGTGTATTACAAAGCATAAAACATAGATGGACACATATCTCTAAAAATTGCAAAATTGATAAAAATGATTTTATTAAAGCTACTGATTTTATATATAATTCTACATATTTTATGTTTGACAATCAGATATATAAGCAAAAATTTGGTACAACGATGGGCTCCCCATTTACCTCCTATATTAGCTGACATAGTTATACAAGATCTCGAAGAAAAAATGTTAGAGGATTGTAATTTCGACATCCCCATATATTATAGATACGTAGACGACATTATCATGGCTATACCGGGTTCAAAAATTAAGGAAATACAAGAAAAATTTAACGCATACCACCCTAGGCTACAATTTACCGTTGAAATAGAATATAAGAATATGAATTTTTTAGATACCACAATAATTATAGATAACAATCAGATTAAGTCCGATTGGTACCATAAGCCGTTGTTCTTAGGGAGATATCTAAATTACAATTCTCAACACCAGTTGTCACAAAAGAAAGGTACTATTATAGGTATGGTGGACAGAATGTTCTTATTGTCACATCTTGAATTCCGTCAGAAAAATTTAGAACAAATTATTCGGATATTAATGATTATCCAATTAAGTACATTTTTGAAATCATAAACAATAGAATTAAGGAACTGACTATAAGAAAGAAATTAAAGTCGAGTAATATGAATATCGATAGATATGACACGGAGGAAAAAGCATGGTTCATGATCCCGTACATAGAATCGATCTCGGAAAATATGACAAATATAATTAAAGATAACAATATGAAAGTAGCAATTTATAGCCTGAACAAACTCATTTGCATGATCAAAGTGCAAAAAGATCCACTTCCATTAGTTTGTAACAAAAACGTTGTCTATAAAATAGTATGTAAAGATTGTGACGTATCCTACGTAGGACAAACATGCCAACAACTAGGATCTCAGAACACAGAAATGACATAAAAAGAAACAAAACTAATCAAACAGTAGTTGCGATGCATAGGAACATGAATAATCACGATTTCAATTGGGACAATGTTAAAATATTAGATAGAGAACGAAATTATAATAAAAGACTAATATCTGAGATGATAAATATTAAACAACAGAAGAATAGGATTAATTTGAACAAAGACACAGAATTATTGTGTCCGTCGTATTTTTATTTTTTAACCGAAGATAAAGAAGTCGAAAGATATTAGCGACATGTATTCTATTAGAATACTAAGAGAGACACCGCAGCATAAACATCAATTTTAATATACGAAAGATGCGAATGTTTTAAATGATTGACGAATGAGGTGGTGATATGTCTGAGAGTGATGATGAGTGTGGATTAATGTAACGGTATTCTCGAGGTGATTCGATACATTGGACTCCAGGTGATTATCTTTGAATAATGAGAGGTTAGTTCTCAATTAAATTTAAGGTCTAACATACCTATATCTTGAGGACCATTCAGCCTACCAACTGTTATGGAGTTCAGATGTGTGGAGTGACCAAGGGATGGATATAATTTTGAGGCTAATTAGTTTTTAAGAGGTCAAATCGTTGAAGAAGGCTAGAAATTAGTCGAAACGTTCGATGTTGAAGATTCGATGTATGAAAATTGTAAGAGCATATGATGGAAATTAAATAAGCGCATTAATTACACAGCGCAGATTCCTAAGCGCCTGGTTAAGTTTATATTTATATAGTTTTTTTAATATAGAGGAATCGAATTTGTGTTTTTTATTGTAGTAGTATTGTAGTAGTAATAGTAGTAATGAGGGTTTTTTTCGTGATATAGACAAAAAAACTGAGATTAGTGTGACACCAGTCGTTTAAAGTGATATTGAAGTACTTTCATATTTAGAAAATAAATCTAAAAAAATAGATATTCTTAATTTGTATCCACACATCAAATAAATTTTTTTTTATGTATAACACATCATTGCCATCATCAGCGCCAGTAGAGCTTTTTAGTTGTGGACAACAAATATTAATTCCACGTAGAAATCGATTATCAGACGAAATGTTCGAAAAACTTTTGTTCTTAAAAAATAAAGATTTATAAAAATATGAAATCGCGTATCCTAAATCGTTTTACTACCTAATATTTACTTAAAAACAAAATTATCTTAAAAATTATCTAGATAACATTTCTTTAAATTTTATCTTTTATCTGGATTAATGTAAAATTAATAATCTTTATCTTATCTAGGATACATTTTTGTGTGATTTATCTTATCTATATCTAGATAATTTTTAATTTGTATCCAAGCGCAACACTAGATACAAAATACATCCAATGTATCAAAAGTTTATATTGGAAACAAATCAGGGTTGATGGAGAGGAAACCAGCGCAGTTGAAATCTGCAGAGGCATCCAACTGGGATGTGTTCTCTCACCCCTTCTGTTTAACTTATACTCTGAGATTATTTTTCAAACGCTCGGGAACATTGAGAAGGGTATAAAGGTCAATGGAGAATGGCTGAATAACATTCGATATGCAGACGACGCAATGTTAATTGCAGACAACATAGACGATTTCGAACAACTTCTTAACGTGGTAGGACACAGTAAAGATATGGGATTAAACATCAATACTAAGAAAACAAAATTCATGGTTATTACCCGAGAACCGAATGTATTCAGAAACGTCAGCTTAACACTAGAAGTCACAGACCGATAGAGCGAGTGAGCAAGTTTAAATATCTAGGAACGTAACTGTGTGAAGATTGGACGTCAAAAACATAAGTAAAATGCCGAATAGAGACGTCTCGCATTCATAAAATTTAAAAAAGTCCTCACCAATACGGACTTCGATCTAAATCTAAGAATTAAATTCATTAGATGCTATATATGATCGGTGCTTGTATACGGAGTGGAGGGATGGTCACTGAAGATTTCCGAAATGAATAGACTGGAAAACTTTGAAATATGGGTCTATCGCAGAGTCCTTAAGATACCGTGGACGGCGAGGGCCACCAACGGAGATGTTTTGAGATGAATGGGCAAGGATCGGGAGATATTGATAAAAAGGAGAAAAACGACATATCTGGGACACATCATGCGCAATACAAAATATGAATTGCTACAGAGAATTATACCGGGAAAGATCGAAGGAAGAAGAGGAGTGGGACGTAAGAAGTTATCTTGGCTCCGTAATATAAGGCACACAGGACTGTGGACAGTGGAAGAACTGATACATACAGCGAGGAACGGAGGAAAGATGTAAAATGTGATCGCAAACATACATTAATGAATAAATATACGAAGAAGAGATATTTGAGGTAATCGATTAAAATGGGACACCCTATATATACACACAGAGTGAGGCAGTAATTCTGTCCACTTAAAATATTTCCGCTATTTTTTAGAAATATGAAATAATATATTTATTGAAGTTGTATAGCATCAAGAGAAGTACAATATACTACTAATAGTTTTTCTATGGGTGGAGGCGCTTCGGAGATTTCAAGGTCACCTTCATTTTTTTAAATAAAATTGTATGATTTTTTTTACATAACATGGTTCTTCTAATTATTCTGTATATAAAAATATTAAAGTAGTAATATAAAAAAAACCAATAATTTACGAGATATTTTATACTTTATTCTTATTTATTTAATACTTTATTCTGGTATATATTGACATAAAATGTTAAATAACTCGTAAACTATTAATTTTTTGATAATTGTACCTTAATATTTTTATATGCAGAATAATAAAATGAATCAATTGATGGAAAGAAAACATATATAGTTGCTTATTTAAAAAATTATCCTTTTTTTTAAAGAAACTATGTGTTTTCTTTCCATCAATTGATTTATTTTAGTATTCTGTTCATAAAAGTATAATATTAAGATACGATTATAAAAAAATTAATAGTTTACGAATTATTTAATATTTTATATCAATATATGCCAGAATAAAGTATCAAATATCTCGTAAACTATTGGTTTTTTGACATCACTACCTTAATACTTTTATATGCAGAATAATTAGAGGAATTATATTATGTAAAAAAAATCATACAATTTTATTTTAAAAAGTGGACGTGTCTTGAAATCTCCAAAGCGCCTTTACCTATAGAAAAACTATTAAGTAGTATATTGTACCCCTCTTCATGCTATACTTCAATAAATATATTATTTCATATCTTTAAAAACAGCAGAAATATTCTAAGTGGACAGAATTATACATACAGGGTGTCCGAAATTTTTTGCCAAACATTCTTGTGTATATGTATAGAGCGGACTAAACTGAGTCGAAAAGTCCTCTACCATTTTGCAATTTTTGAAATAGTTAATAGGGTATTAATTACTAAAAATCGCTGAACATTGATTCTCAATAATTTTTTACTCAAATATTATCAACTTTACAGAAAAACAATGAGAGACAAAAATTGTTTATTTTCTTCTGATAAATTTCTGAGAATTTTTTCAGAATTTTTTGTCAACTTTTTAGTACTGCATTTTCTTATTGGCAACTATTTTTACCAACATGAGAAAATACAGTATTAAAAAATTCTGAAAAAATTCTCAAAATTTTATGAGGAGAAAATAAACAATTTTTATCGCTTGCTGTTTTTTTGTAAAGTTGATAGCATTTGAGTAAAAAAATTATTGAAAACCAATATTCAGCGATATTTAGTGATTAATATCTATTCGCACTATTGCGAAAATTGCAAAATCGTAGAGAACTTTTCGATTCAGTTTTATCCGCTCTATGTACACAAGAGCGCTTGGTAAAAAATTTTGGGACACCCTGTATATGCACGCACACATACGCAAGCACGCACTCGTGCATCTTGATCAATTTTAATAAATGTATCTTACAATGGCTACGATTACACCGTGTACTTAGTCCGCGACCTATACGATAAGCATCCTTGTTTATAGATTAAACAAAGCCGCGTATCGTATAGGCCACGAACTAAGCGCACGGTGTAAATTAGGCCATTGTCTCAACTGTTTTTAATCTTAAAGCTTTGTGTGTATGAACTTTTATCTGAACATATTATCCTTTTTTCTTTATGTTATACTGTTAAAATAAGGTATATATATATATATATATATATAAGGCATAGTCTCATAAATTTTTAAACAAGAACAATAGGTTGTCGATTATGATTTATTTAAACGTTTAAACGTACACATACACTGGTCCCGATGTGTATGTTTATATAATTTAGTACTAATTTTTATAATTAATATTTTATATTTGATACTAATATTATATGTAATTTAATATTAATATTAATAAATTATTTAAATTTAATATTAATATTTTAAGAGACAACCAAAAGTTCTTGTATATCTTTATAAAATCTAAAATCGAAACGCAACCTCAACACTTTCGTCGATTGTGTCTCATATATATACGCATATATTTAGGAAATCTTAATTTAAGCGTACACTACATAAAAGGCCTGTTTGGTGGACACTCGCGAAAATAAGCCTGCACATATTCAAATTAAAATTGAATCGGTATGTATAATATACATATGCCATTTTGTAAAAAAATTATTCCATTGCTCTGCATAAGTAATATTATTTAGGGAGAATGTTTGAAATAATTTCAGTTAACATCATTGATACGGTATATTTTCGTACATTTCGGAGAATATTAAAAAACAAAATGAACCCGTTGACTACAGAATCAAATGACTTAAAGCCAAAATCTATTTTAAATATACAATGATTACATTTTAGATGCGTTCCGAATTACGCATGAAGCATATGAGGTATCATTTTATCCTTTTTTATTCTTCGGTGAACAATAAGGACAAATGATGCATCATGCGCTTTGTGCGTAATTCGGAACGCACCCATACTACACTATTAACTATCTATACACGGTACTCAAGCACTCAGTATGTATGCGCTTCTGCATACTATTTTGCAAATTGAATACATAATGTATCACATGCATATTGTACTATCCATTTTTACAGATTCAAATTTTTCTGAGGCTTTTCTTGATCTGTACGACCACTTCTTCGTAACTTGCGTAGCGAGCGCATACGTTGTTTAAGAGATAAACAAGTACATTTCCAAAATCTCTACCGTATAAATCTTTACATATCTCATGTGTTTCTAAAACAATTTTTGGATAGGTTTTAGTCGTTGCACAGTGGTCCTAATAATGTTGATTATGTGCAAGCAACGAATATATCGATAAAGCCACCACAAAGCAGGCCATAAAGTGCATTTTCATGTATTATAACTGTGTAGATACATATATTTTTATCTTACTATAGTATTAACTTTTTTATAATAAATAGCATAATAACATTAATGTTTCCTTATTACACGATGGTTCTTTGCTGAATATGTGCACACATTGGAACATATCATCAAATATAGCAAGCGTTATCGTTTGTTGAGGATATTGACGAAAGTTCGAAATTTCGCTTGCGCCTCTGGCATTTGTGCCAGTGTCTCCTCCATCATATTCCTTAATTTCGCTAGATCGGGCATTTTTTCACACGACTCGATATTTAACAGCTCCATGAAAAATTGTTCCCACGCAGCTCTCTTAGCGTACCTGTAATACAGAAAAGATGTGTAGCATTAACGTTTTTTCACGCGACATAAATATGGATCCCTTTTGGATTAATCATATATTTATTACTTGTATATACCTTGGTAATTTCGAGGCAATAAACCAACGGCCGCCCATATTTGACACTTTCATATAATTGCCAAACAGTAAACAATGACTGGTCGCCGCTAGACAATATAAATCAGTCTGATATGTCCATGGTCTTCCAGTTTGCATTTCGATACAAGTAAAATCTTCCGTTTTTATAACTTGCATAAACGTTGTATTTTCTGGGAATAGTTTCATGTCTATGCTACATCCGAAATCTATCAATTGTATAGTTGGCCTTACATCTTGCGTAGGTCTGTTGATTATAGAGCGATTATAGGAATATTCATAACTTAATGAATGATTTAGAATTAATCAATCCCTATTCTTGTAAAATTTATATTACTAATTTTAGGTAGGAAATTCCTTTTCTTTAAGAATGATAGTGCAATTATTGTCAATTATTGTCACACAAATTTTTGAAAATGATCATTAATAAAACTATTCTTAACTGTAACATATCTTATTTAACATTAAAAACAATTACATATAATGTTATTATTATTATTATTAAATAATCAATGATTATCATTTATCGAATAGAAAAAAGTTACTAAAAAAAAATAATACTAACAGTCGCATTAATAAAAAATTATCTGGCTTTATGTCCCCATGTATTATTTGGCATTTATGTAAGTACTCCACGATTTGAAGCATTTCAATTGTGAAGAAAATAGTTAAAGTTTCCATCAGAGGCTTGCCAGTGGCAAGTTTTATCTGATTTGTCACTTCTAATAACGTTCCAAATTTAGAATATTCTGAAACTAGTACACTTCCATTATTAGCCACATATGCCATCGTTACATCCATAAAACCGCGCAACTGAAAAAGAATATTACAATATCATGGAAGGAGAATTGATTTGTTGATAATAAAAGTAGTTTTTATTTAACAATATTTGTGCTATACTATACCATATGTGGATTTGTAAGACGTGTTTTTATTTCTCGTACGATATAGTATTCCCAAACCCAAGCAGGTTTTTGCGTTTTAAGAGCGACAGTCTCGCCTGTTTGCAAATTAACTGATTTATAAACTGTTCCATACATTCCTTTCCCAAGGCACTTTTCCAAATCATACGCTTCAGTGTCTGCATAATAGAGAGCATAAAATATAGATTAGTATAAAAAATAAAAGCTTGTAAATATATCTTATAATACGACATAAATCTGAATCCATGTAAATTGAACACTAACCGAGCGTAATCATGGTAGAAGGCACAAGCTTATTTAGATTGGTATCTATTCTTTTGTATCCATCTGCATGATGAGGTTGCGGAAATTTAATTTTTTTTAATAGGCCAGCTATTAAGTTTTTATCGAATGGATTTATATCTTTCGATGGAAGCTCGAAGCATTCTTCCTCCATTTGTTCCATAGGTTCATGCTCCTCGTACTCCATGGTGCTAACTTTTTCTGAATTATTCTCTTCATTAAGTTTTAAATTTATGGATTTTCTTAGATCGCAATTATTCTTTATTTCGGATGTAATTTGATCAACGTGCCGTTGTACTGTACGCGGACTTTGAGCATGCACTGCCTGGATCTGTGCATGCTGCCTTTGTTCATAAGGTTGATTCACAGATAATAGAGATTCGTTTGACTCCTCTTCTAGAACTTTATGTAGAATTATAAAGTTAAAACATTTTTATATTTTTCAATTAAATGAAAAGTTTGTGCAAAATATTTAACCATTTATTTAATTATAATTTGAACAAGTAGTTTTTCAGAAATTAAACCCAGTATCTGTCAGTCAATTTTTATTTTAACCATCTGCTAAAACGACTGTAATTAATTCATGACATTTTAAGGCTCTACTTAAGGTCTTAATAAATGTAAGAACCAAAAACATGTAAATACTGGCCTAAATCTTTTAAATATGTACAATTACGATGTAGAAATAGATTATATATATTATTAACGAAATTTTTGATACATACTTGTATCCACAGGTTGTTCTTTAAAAGGAATTACATCTTCTCTCGTTAATGCAAAAGTTAATCCAGTTGTTTTGGTGTAATTACTACTCCCTGAGCTGCTTGATACATATTCTCGTGTAGATTCTAATATCACGCTTAATTTATCATCGCCTTCGGCATTAGGTGCTTCTGCAACTCTATTTAACATAAATAAAACTTAAATGTTTCATCATATACTTCCGACAAATCAAAAACTGATTAATACATACGGTTGGGATACAGTATTCTGACTTGAAAATTGTGAATCATCTTTTATTCTGTATGATGGTTTAAAATGATTAATCATTGGTGTAGAGCTTGTTAATGGTGCATTAAAGGCTTCTGTAAAACATGTCTCATTAGCAGCTGAGAGAGGAGTTATACCCAAGCTTTCATCGATATAAAGATTATTCTCGTCTGGTTTGGGTATATTTTCTTCTAGCGAACTATTATAATCCACAACAATAGCATTCTCTTTGTCTTCCGCGCTTTCAAGATATTTGATATCTTTACGATTCATCCCAGGTGATTTAATGTATGGTAACTCAGATGGCATTCTGTATGGTTTGCTCGTTTCAATTTCAGGATCGGTATAAGGAGAGAAATGTAACTGTTTTTGTGATTCTATATTTTGCTGAGGCAGCATAGGTGCTTCCATTGGATATTGTTGATAGTCGATATCATTAGGTAACATGTTACCATAAATGGGATGCTGCATATGTTGCATGTGTTGCTGCACGTGTTGCGGTTGCTGAGAATGTAAAATATGTTGATTGTGTGGAGACTGATGATGATTATGTGTTGATTGATGATGATTGAGTGGAGACTGATGATGATTGTGTGAAGACTGATGATGATTGTGTGAAGACTGATGATGATTGTGTGGAGACTGATGGTGATGATTGTGCGGAGACTGGTGATGATGACTGTGCGAAGATTGGTGATGATGAATATGCGGTTGATGATGCGGCATTTGGTTATGAGGGGATTGTAAATGCTGCGGATGAGGAAGAGACTGATGATGCACAGCATGCATTTGCTGATGCAATGGAATCAACTGCTGATGGTGATGCTGATGTTGGGAATGGTGCTGCCGAGAATGTGGTTGCTGCACTTGATCATGATGCTGCTGTAATAAAAAATGTATATTACATTAGATCCTCATTAGATTTCAAATGGAAATATTTTATTAAAAAATGTATATTACATTAGATCCTCATTAGATTTCAAATGGAAATATTTTATTTTTATTATTTTTTAGGTTCTTGTTAAATATAAATGTATATACAAATCAAAAGCAACAGATTTGTATTTATACAATAAGTCCATCAATATCAAGTAAATTAATTATTAATTTTGCTCTTAATAATCAAAGTGATTAAAATTAACCCTAGCTCGCCACCATAGAGTACAACGTATCTTATGTGATTTTTTTTACATTGCTATAACTTTTTTGTAATATAATTTGAAGATCTGAATTGAGGTTCAAAAATATTTGAACTATCCATAGATACGATAAGCAAGGGTAATTTTTTTTGCTTCAATTGTTCTCAATGTGAGAGTGCACGAAAATTCAAAGGATACTTGGGATCCACATGTGGCTAGCTCGTAAGTTTTCAGCGTTCTTGGTATCTCTTTATTTTTTATTAAATATATGTTTACTGCGTTTCGGATAGTATAAAAGTAAATACATGAAAATGTAAAATTAAAAAGAATTATTTTAATATATAAATAATAGAAATTTTATAAATATAATAAATAGTAGAAATTTTATGTCAGCCTCTGTCAGTCTTAAGATCGCTTGGGCGGATGTATTGTTTCAAATCGAGTGTTGCATCATCCTCTAAACTAAATCCTAATAAATTTGATTATATATACTATAATATTTATCCAATCCTTTATCTACCATTTTATATTGTTCAAATAACAAAATTTTATTTTTCAGTTGTAAAATTGATATATAGATTTTTTTAAATGTCGATTTTTACAACAGTTCAAATAGTTCAAATAATTACACTTTTTTCAGCGATTGATATTTTTTAAACATACTATTTTTTTTGTCAAAAAAATTAACTAAAAACACGTCACGTTTTGTTGTTTAGTTTAAATTTAAAAATTTGAGAATTTTTTCAATTTAAAGTAGTCACTTTTTGCGAATTTTTTCAATAAAAATTTTTTTAACTATTGTAATTAATTGAAAATCAAATATTATTTATCAAATATTATTCATATTTATCTATTTTTGTTTTATTTTGAGGCATAAATTTCACGTTTTGAGCTAAAAAATATATATTCAGTTCAGAAATATAGCGTAACAAAGTTACAGCGTCCCATAGATCCTGGTCAAAAAGGAAACCAAAAATAACGATGGTGAGCTAAGGTTAAGATTACCTATTGATTCACTCACGTTTATACAAAATATTTAATATAAAAACAATATGAATACTTCATATATTTTTTCTATACCTGCATCTGATAATGATAACTATTTTGCAAACTGTGATTCCCATATACAACATGCTGATCCTGAGAATAACTATGATGCTGTGTATGATAACTTTGATGATTCTCTTGATCGTTATAAACCTGCACATTGTATCCTTGATGATGCTTATTACTAGACATTGCATGTTGAGTCATAGAGCTATCCATGTGTATATCAAACGGCAACTTATTCCTCGAATCTACCATTCTAGATGCAACGGGAGGACTACGAAAGCGCGAAGCATTAGCGGCTGCATCTGGAGATTGCCACAAACCTTGCACTACCGAAATAGCTTCCTTCGTGTTTACAGTAAGGCTCTGCCCAAGCAGATGTTCCTCAGTATCAACAGTCAACGATGAAGTGTGATGCTGGTGCATAAAGTTTGTCGATTGTAATGGTCGACTATTTCGTTGTACTTCAAGTCTCTCAACTTCAATTCTCTCGGTTTCTAATCTTTGTTCAACTTCCTGTCGTTGAGTCTCTAAAACCTGATTCCCGACATGGCTCTCGTATTGCTGCCTTTGCAACTCTTGTTCGGCTTGAAGTCTCTGCTGATTGATTTCAGCTTCTCTTCTTTGCTGATTGAGCTTCTGCTCTTCTTGTACGTGATACATGTTCTCATAATTGTTAAGCTGGGATTGGGATTCTTCACTAGTTTCACGTAAACAAATCATCGACATTTCATGTTTATTTCTCAGAAACTGCGCTCTTCTGTGTAAAATATTGTATTATATATCAATGTTTTTAGATACTGTAAATGGATATACGAGGGTCGTCTGAAAAGTTTTGAGCCTAACATAGAAGCAAGTAATTTTTTGGTTAAATTCAATTTTATTTTTCCACATAGTCTCCTTTTAAGTCGATACATTTTTTCCAGCGATGCTCCCACCCCTTTAATCCATTCAAATAATACTGAGTGTCTTGCTTTGCAAAATAGGCGTCTACGGATGCGATGACCTCCTCGTTCGATGAAAATTTCTGTCCTCCGAGCCAAACATACAGTCTAGGAAACAGAAAAAAGTCGCTGGGGGCCAGATTTAGTGAATACGGTGGATGGTCAATTAATTCGAACCGCAATTCGTGAATTTTTGGCATAGCGACCGTCGAAGTGTGAGACGGTGCATTATCTTGATGGAACAACACTTTCTTCTTTTTCAAATGCGGTCGTTTTTTCTCAATTTCTGCCTTCAGCTTGTCAAGCAATGATACGTAGTACGTCCCTGTTATTGTTTTACCTTTTTCAAGATAGTCGATCAACACAATTCCATGACTGTCCCAAAAAACAGTCGCCATCACCTTTCCCGCCGATAAAACTGTCTTCGCTTTCTTCGGAGCAGGTTCATCCTTCGCAGTCCACTGTTTTGATTGTTCTTTCGTTTCAGGAGTGAAGTGGTGGACCCAAGTTTCATCAACCGTTATTAATTGACGCAAAAAATCCGACTCGTTTCGCTTAAACCGCTCCAACAGGGCCTTAGAAATGTTCATTCGAATGCATTTTTGATCCAGAATGAGCAAGCGCGGCACCCAACGCGCGGTTAACTTACGGATGTCTAATTCTTCAGTCAATATATGACAAAGACGTTCTTTTGATATTCCAACAGCCTCTGCTATCTCCCTAATCTTAATATTCGACGGTTGTCCATTATCATTTGATGAATTTCTTTGATGTTATCGGTGGTGGTCACAGTTGTTGGCCGTCCCGAACGCTTATCATCAGCTAAGCTGGTACGATCACGTTTAAATTCAGCTACCCATCTTTTCACGGTGGCAAATGATGGGGCAGAGTCCCCGTAAACAGCGTCCAACTCGGCTTTAATTTGCGTAGACGTATTGCCTTTCAAATGCAAGAATTTAATTATAGCACGATATTCAATTTTTTCCATTTTTACAAAATGACGACATAAATGATCGTCAAACAAGAACTGAACGTCCAAAGTGACCACAATTGTCACAGATATAATATCTTTCGTAAATATCACGATTATAATACCAGAATGGCTTTGACGAGTAACGCCATCTTCATGATGAGGCTCAAAACTTTTCAGACGACCCTCCTGCATACACCAAATAATTTTATTATGTTTTATAAAAGAATGATACCTTTCCAAATAAAGTTGTGCTCTAATTTCTTCCATACTACGATCAACATTATCAGCATAAACTAATTCTTTGGGATAATGTGGTTTTTGTACAATATTTGAATCTATTGGCTCTGCTACATATACTGGCACTCTTAAACAGTCATGATATTTACTACCATCAAAAAAACGTATATGATTTGGAAATAATTTAATTTTCTCCATATTACTGTCATCATTCTGGTCCTCGTGAACTGAAAGTAAATAAGGAAATTCTCTTCACACATTACTTTCCTGCAATAACTGGCCGTTTTAATTTGACATATCTTATCATCGTTCTTACTCTTAAAACCCGCTTTTACAGTAGGAGCTATTAATGGACCTCTCTTGCTTCCACTATTCCATGGTCCAGGCTTGATGGTGTTTTCTTTATGTACCATATCCTCTATAGGTACATGATCTAATATGCTTGAACTTTTCATTTCTCCAGGCATATCATCCTAAGTTATAACATTTCATTACAAATTATTTTAAAAATACGATAAAGTATAATACACTAATAATATAGTATTCATACAAATATCTTACTTGATATATTTGTATTTTAGAATTGGGTTTTGTGTTCTGCATAGAAGACGAGATTTGGGGCACAGTTCCAGGATAATACTCGCGTACACGATGACCTGTTCGTATGCTGCCAACTCTTTTACCAGCTCTTATCGCTCTTAATGAACTGAAAGCCTGACGTTGTTCGAACAAGGAAACGTCGTTTCTTTCTTCGATACGTCCAAGTGTTTTGCGCGCCACAGCAAATTGAAAATTTCTGTCAAAAGATATTGTCCAATTTTATCACATATAAATAATTTTTATTCAATACATTTTATTATGTGAAAAGCAGTAATTCATACTGGTGAGCATGGCCTAATTCCTCGAATGGTTCTGCATGAACAGATAGTCCCATTAAGTAAACTTCATCCGCGCGTTTGTCGTCCTCAATTTGCTCTAATTCAAAAGCCCAAGCCCTGTACATGTCGGCTACTCTAGTCCCGATACCACTGCTGTGCAACAGCTGGTATAATTCCAAAGGATTCTTTTGCATACTTACCTAAAAATCAAGTCTTATTATAATACTTATAACATGATTATACTTACAAGATATTACTCACATAATTAATCCATAGACGTATGTATCTGCGATCTTGATGATATTTTACGTCTTTTTCAAATATCGCTAAACATTGTTGCAAGAGTCTCCCAATATGGGATTCATGTCCACTTTTCGGATAACTCTGTTCCACCCATAAAATGTACTCGTACCAATTCTCTAACGGATCATCTCCTTCGTAATTCTTAATTGCATCCTCATACATTCTAAATAAAAATATATTACATTTTTAACAACTTTACAAAATGGTTGTGTTCAACAAAAAAAGCAGCTTTCTTAATATTAGTTTTGTCCTTAGTTCCTCACTGGATGTAAATGTATAAACTAATTATTAAATTAAAGAATCTTACAATTCTTAATTGCAAAGCTACGTTTTTGCTGAACGTAGTCATTATTATATTTTCTACGTTAATTTATAATAGAATTAGCTAATATATGCAAGCGTCTTTGAATCTATAGGTTTAGAATACTCACTGCTTCTCCTGTAGCAACAACTGCTGTGCATCTACATCCTCCTGCGCCCTCAATGCAGTTCCCAATTGAGTAGCATTCCGTCCATATCTTAATGGCTGAATGTTCTCCTTGCAAAGAGCTATCACTGTTGCGGGATCCATTTCCAACTCTGTTGCCTTTATCACTCAGAGACTTCCTTATACACTAATAAAATAACAAAAAATTCCGTAATTAATGCAAACAATACCACAGAATATTTAGCGGAATTCCAATTAATCATATGATTATACATGTATAAAAATGTAAACATTCTTTACTTTACGATTGTCAATGGAACACCGGGGGACGCGCGATACGCTGGGGCAGGGATACAATGAGGTGACTGTTACTTCGTCGATGGGATTATTGTGGCATCTGGTTCACGGCACACACCAATCCTGGGGAAAGTCGCGGAACAGAGAGCTTGACACTCATTGATTTGACGTCAATGGCTGATGTTGACGTTGTGGGTATAACACGGGCGAAAGGAGTTCTCCAAGGGGGCCCGCGAAGGGAATTAAGATTTCGTGCTCACTCAAACCAGAGTCTAGGGAACGCGTATACACCCTCACTTATCGCAACTTGGCATAACAATCCCGCGATCTTGCCGGACCTTATATTCAAACGAAACTCTGCTCCAAAAATTTCAATAAGGACGCTATCGAGCCACGGATTAGGTTAAGTTTACGCTTTAACAACTCAAATAAGTAGAGGCAGGGAGTTCGCCAACAACGGTTTTAATTGTCTTCTCTCGGTTACGATCAACGATAGTATACTCAAACTCAATGCACTCGATGCCTCTCTTCCTCTCGTCTCGTCGCACCTCGTCCCACCGAGTCTCAACGTTGGTTCACGTTGGTTAGCGTTGGTACTTGGTTGTGTACCCCAGTGTATTGGCTACGTTGCGACGCCTCGCGCCGGCAAGGCAAAGGCAAGTGGCGGAATCTCGATCCGCGGGATCGAGCTGCGATCGACGTGCGCTTTCGACACTCGGACACTCTCGGGCGACCGCGAGGCGCGAGGTCCAACGCAATAGGTAGTTTCGATGGTCTCGATCGACAACGTGCTGCTCCGTAACGGCGAGAAATTTTTACAGATAGCACGGCCGTCCGCTGAGGGGCGACCCTTGCATAACGATTCTCCGAGAACAGCCCATCGGGACGAAACTGAGTACATCAGTGACTCTCAACCGGAGCGAGTAAATGGGAAACTGCTGACGTGCGATCTCGATTCCGCATTTTATTGTGACGCGCGAAACGGAACATCGTACAGACGTACACCGTTTTTGCGATCATTCATTCGTATTTCGTTCAGTAACGAATATACCTAAAATGCGTCGATCCGCATTTATGAACTCGTTCACATCAGTTCACGAGCTAATTAGATTCGGCGAAAATCTCTTAAATTATACTGTTTCCGTTAATCGATTTCGATTTCTACTTTTGAATCCCCTCTATCCCCCTCTCTTATCTCCCTCTCAACCCCTCTCTCTGTCTCACTCCCCCCTCCCTCTCCGCAATTAATGGACGCGTTTAAATATAACCTCAAATATCGCATCAATCAGGAGACGCAGTAGCGGCTCCCGTCTAGAGTCATGGTGCAGTCCCATGAAGCGTATTTGCCACGTATCGCGTAACCGCGTAACCAATCAGAAGCAATCCGCCTTTTCCACTACGCATAAATAGATCTCCTAGGGCGGAATTCATAGTCAGAACTTATTCTTAAGACCGCCTTAAGTACGGTCTTAAGATGTCCTCTAGATTCATAGTCGAAAAATAAGACGGTACTTGAGTAAAATCTCAAGT